GATGATGATGATGGTGATGATGACCTCTGCACTTGGCTGCTGAATGAATAATGATATTCATGATGATGATGTTGATGGTGGTGATGATGATGATGACAATTTCATGGTATGTGTACAGTTATTTATTATCATATCCAGTTTTAAGTCTTAAACCATAAAGCTCATATTTCCCAAAGGTGTAGCCTAATGTTTTATTGTCTTTTTACATCGATAGGCAAAATACGAAGCAAACAAGAAGAAAGACCAACTACCGCAATACCAGAAGGATGCAAATCATATCAACGATGTGAACCATATCAATCATCGACATCCAAGACATCATCACTACATATGAAAAATAYCTTTATGTGGACAATAAATGAGATCGAAACATGATGATCTACAAAATAAGTCGAAGAAAGTGTGAAAGCCGACGTCCCCATAGTTTGGTATTTTCTGTTTTTACAAGGGCAAGCGAACTTTTTAATACTACAACACTCTGAATCTGCCTTTGGTAAAGGTAGGGTGACCCTTCTGCTAGGACTTACTCCATTGCCTTTGGTTTTCCTTGAGGATTGAAAAAAAACAACCGTTCTCTACAGCTAGGGTTACCCTACTTTCAAGTAATACCTTTGTTTTTTCCCATTAGCCTCGTTTTGAAGTGCCTCAATGCGAGGCTATTGGAACAGCAAAATCGCTCTTCCCAAGAAATATGAATTATTATAGAATTAATATTTTTTAGTTAATTTATTCCTAAGAAAGTTTGGGTTGAAATAAATATTTATGAGGTTTTCAGGGCTGTCTCCTATTAAATCAGGATGGTATGGATCAGCCTTGACAACTTACAATTATAGTGCCGCTTGCTAGAAATATAGATGGAARTTTGCAATGCTGATATTGCAAAAACAATAAAATTGAAACTCTAGGCTGTAGTGTTTAAAAGACTTAGTTGTTCAAGCAGGAATGTTTTTATAGACCATAATATTATTATYTCGTAGAGCGAGTTTTAATCTCCTAGATATGTATTTATTCCTTATGAGAAATACCAATAATTTTGGCATAATAGTCAAGAAACATGTAAATTTGGGCCACGTAGGTTATACTTTACGAATAAACAGATCGCAAAAAGGGACCATAGATATAGTCGTAAATAAAGAATTTGTTGGAAAATTTAGTGTTGGATCAGTGACCCTGTGTCGCCTTAATTAAAGTAGACAAAGAATGGTACTTTGACACTCAAGTGGGTTCCGCTCTGAACCAATCAAAGACCAAATAAAGACACACCAACCAATCAGAATGCTTGAAATTGTCAAAGTACCATGACTATTTCTACCAACGCGTTTCTCTACTCTGCAAAATTTGCTGCCAATGCGCAGGAATTATTTTATAAATCCCTTGATTCATTCTAAAAGTATCAAATCCAGACGCTAAACAAACCTATATTTTAAAATTTTGTATTTTGTTGTGAAGCAAAACGTTTTATTGTTTTTAGCGCAACACTCAAAAATTGCGCAAATTCCATTCATCTTCGCCACAATTTGCGCGCCATAATAGGATCTGCGCTTTGAATTACTATTAATCAAAAATAACGAGTTTAAATGAAGATGAAGTTAATCTCGCAATACAAACTTCCAAGTGATATTTTTTTGTTTTTGATGATATTTTGTTTGCAAGTCTAGAGCAAACCTGAGTGAGCTATGAAGTACGTTATTGTGTCTTATTTCTTCAGCCGCGTTTCAAAGTTGATTTTGCAGTAGACGAAGCCTCGGTTACATTACCTCGAGTGTCATTAGTCACGCTTGTTTCACTGCTGTGCGCGGTTACCTCGACCTTACATGGCTTTACTGTCGTGCAACTGAAACTAGAGAAGCTTGGTAAAGGTCCACATGGACTTGAATACGTGCGCCACCCGGGGTTCTCGACTGGACGACGCCTTTCAAACTCTCTTTGACCGTAGATACAGGACTCGGCAAAAGGGATTTCTAAATCACAAGGATGGACAGACAACTGAGTTGATGATAACGGTACTATGTTAGACCAAACAGGAGAGCATAGGGTTTGTTGATGCCCCGATTGCTGCCAACGTGAACAGCTGTTTTGTTCCCCAAACACATGGTAACCACTTCTTAGATACGATGGTGAAGGACATAAGCTGCCTTGCAGGGGTGGGGTAGGGTACAAGTGACTTGGTAGTCCTGGACCAAGGCCCCCTTGGAGGGGAGGTGTAGGGCAACAGCTTGTTAACGATGGACATAGACTTCCTTGGAAGAAAGTTGGAGTGCAGCAGACGTCTTGCTGTGGTACTGACATCCCATGGTACTGTGCACTGGGGTGCATCCTTGTACTGGGTAGTCCCGATTGACAGTGACCACTGAATAAAGGAACCACCGCGTGTCTTCTTCTTAGCGGTAATGGTGCAAGAGGTGGCGAAGTCAAAGACAAAAATGTAGACGCACTTGATCTTGTAGCCTCTCTATTGGCTGTATTTTCGACTTGTCCCGCGGGTTTGTTTTCCGGATCACGAGAGGTCTTACTTGGCTGTTGCTCTAAGCCATCAGCTGGGTTTCCCTGTATAATGCAATCATCCAAGCCTCTGGATTGTACGCTCTGTCGCTGCGCTTGCTGGTTTGTTGATCCCTCATCGTCTCGCGTAAAGCGTCTACGGCGGCGCAGGAAGCTCCCATTATCAAACATATCAATACTGTTAGGATCTATAGCCCAGTAGTTGCCTTTCCCTGGGCCGTTGGAGTCTCGAGGTAGCTTCACAAAGCAGTCATTCAGTGTCAAATTATGCCGGATAGAGTTCTTCCAATTTGCGCTGCAGCTGTTCTTGTAGTAAGGGAATCGTTGCATGATAAATCGATAAATACCTGACAATGTCAACTTTTTTTCCACCGAGCTCGCGATGGCCATGCAAATCAGTGCTACGTATGAATATGGAGGTTTACCACGACTGGTTCGTTGGCCTTGGCTTTCTTTTCCTTGTTCGTCGATAATGTCGTTTTCTTGAGACATGCTGTCGGAGCTATCCTGATTCTCATTCTGTTCTGGATAATTTTCTTCGTGTAGCGTCACATCGCTTGCAGCATTCTTGTTCTGCTCTTCTCGTCGCATTTGGCTGCTCTCTGAGGCATAACTAGATGAACTAGAATTATTCTGGTCATTTTGAACCCAGGGCGGAGAATTAAGCGACATTGTACTTCTGGAATCTTGTATTTATGGAGTCGTTGCAGTATAAAAGGAAGCAGAGAAGCCAAAGGGATTACACAGCAGTTTATAAATCTCCACCATCTGATCATAAGTAATTCTTCTGAATCTTACTCAAATAGACTGCGCAACGTCCCCTGAGAATTTCACAGTAATCTAGATTCGTTTTTATGTAATTACGCAAGTTTTTTAAAATGAGGCTTAAGTTTTTAAAATAATTTTTTAAATAATACAAAGATACTATTCACAAATATACATACTCCTGTGCACGCCCAAATGTGTAATAAAGCTTCTACTTCAAAACTCCTGGGATTTCCCTTGGAATTCGCGTATTAGTTTTTCTGTTACTTCCCTTAAGGAATGCAAACTTTGCTGTGGGTTAATAAGACAAACGAATTCAACTATCCCGTGCGCAAAATGCAATCAATCTATTCTTCGCAGGCCTCTGGGTACGAGATCTATTCTTTCTTGCATTGCGCGCAGAATTGATGTAAAGCAACAATGCTTCGTGGATAGTTGCTATAGAAATATATTCCCATTATTTATTTTTAATAGTATCTTACTATCATTAAGATATACCGTATTTCTACAAATTATAACAACAAAGAAAAAACAAAGACGCGCGCCAAAAATTGATCGCTTTTTTCACTCGTTTGCGAAAACAAACACTATCTTGACCTTGAATTCAAGTTCAAAAACGTTAATTTATTCAGTTTTTCAAATTTTATTTTCACCTTTCGTTTTATCTAAATTGGACGCCTTGTGGGAAGAAAAGCATGAAAGCGCAAATCACTGCTAAATCCCATTTTTTTATTTCAAAATCATTCAATCGCAATATCATATTTGATTCTAAAATGGTTTCTATTCTGGGCCAATCAGAAACCAAGAGAGAAAAATCCTCCAATTACGATGCTCGATCATGGAAGCCATTTCAAAGTCATAGAAATTTTTATTTCTCGTTCATGCCAAAAAAAATAAAGGCACAAAAATTGAAGCTTTTTGGCATATATTTATTAAGTATATTTATTTACACGATATCCCATTTATTCCATTACAATCTGTTTTTGTTGAAAAAAAAAGTATGTTAGAATCCCACCAACCCTTATATACTTTAACTACGTATTCTTTGGAAAATAAGCAGACATGAGAGGCGGTTGTGCGGCACCTGGGCGCGCATTGGACCCAAACCGCACACTCGGTTGCAGAATTCTCTTTTCATGAGGAACGTTATCGTTATGCTTGGCTGGGACCTCGTTTATATGGTTCCTTCTTTGGAGGTACTTAGGATCTAGTACTGGTTGATTTTCAATGTTATTTCTTGAGTGTGGTGTTGTGATGGGCGTGGCTTCTCGTCCCCTTGGTTCCGCTTCTTCTGGGATTGTTGGGGTGGAATGGGTAAGAGGACGAGGAAATGTAGCCTTGCGTTGAGCAGCTGGACGGTATGTAACCTATCATCAAAGACAGAAACTATATCAGTTTGCATTTTACACAAATATTTTATAAAAATAAAACAAAAGCCCTTACCTGTTGGTTGGTGTACCGAGGGACAAGGGCTTGTGGTGGAGTTATTGTCTTACTTATACTTATTCCCTAAGAAAACAAAGATACGGCGTCAAGAGGTCCAAATAAAATCCACGTATCTAAAATAGACTATTTAAGTTCGGGCAACGCGCGCATCAAAACAAACTTTTCGCAAAATTTGCGTAAAATAACTTCGGAAACGGGTAAACAACGCTTAAAACTTTTACACTCTGTTAAACTTTTACGTTTTTAAGCCCACGATGGAGATTGTTACAAAGCGATTGCGCAATTATACGCCCTACAGCTAGAAGGAAAGGGGTTAATGATATATAGTATTATGGTGTTACAAAAACCATTCTAAGGACAGTAACTATATGTAATTGAAGACGCGAATATTTTTCCACTCAGAATCTTCATACATGGAGCTGTCACTTTCTCACTGTCACGGCACGGCACGTCCAGAACGTAAGAGCACATAACGTTATACGGCACTGTCACTATACATATTTAACGACATTAATTGTACTAGTTACAACGCGAGACGAATATTCTTTCACCCAGAACCCTCGCATGCATCAAAACATGCATTAGGAGAGAGGGGGACTTGGAGTCGTATGCGTATCATGGTACTTACGTCTTTAGACAGCAGAGGATCTTTAGATGAGTGAAGCTCAAATGTTCCATGCCGCTGTTGGCTGGTAATCATCTGATCATTCATCTGCTTGTTTAGGTAATTTATCACTGGAAAAAGTAGAAAAAAATAAGTAACTAATAAAATAATAAATATCACTTAAAAATATAATAGCATTATAATTTTTTGAATAACATAAAGCAACTTAAAATAAAAAGAGAAAAGAAATGGTATTCTCATTTACAATTGCCCTATTTCACTATGACGTCACTGTTTGTTTATGTGAGGGATAGAATCGCCAAATTCAATAGAAAATTCAACAAAATTTGCTCCTAGCGAAACAGTTTAATCTATAATGGCCTGGTTTTCAGATATAATATGTGTTAATATGTACTAAAAAATATTCTGAGCGTTTGCTGGCTATTCTACTTCTCTTCGTTGATTGATACGGGTTTTAGAACAATTTTCGGGCAATTTTTATTTCAAAAATAGATAAAGAAGATTAATTTCTGACATCTTAACTGGGAAGACTATGTTACAAATATTAAAACTCACCATTTTCATTGGTTTTCAGCAATTCTTTACTTTCTTCCAACTTTTCTGTTGTTGCCTTCAAAGTTTCACCAAGCTTTTTTATCTAGCAGGAAGATTTCAAATTAAGTCAAACACAAAACAAAGAGGATTTCTTTCTTGTGTACTCAAGAAATACCAACCTCTTCTTCCTTGGACGTTTGACTTTCTTTCAAAGTTTCAAACTCTTTTTTTAGGGACTGGAGTTCCTTTTCCTGGAGAGAGAGAAATGATAGGAAATGTCGAATGGGAGCTAAAATGAATAAATAAGTGGATAGATGGATGGATGGATGGATTTATGGGATAAATGATATTTGAATGGATGGATGAATGAATGGGATAGATGAATGAATGGRATAGATGAATGAATGGATGGATGAATAGGATAGATGGATGAATAAATGGGATAGATAAAAGAATGGGATAGATGAATGAATGGATGGATGAATAGAATAGATGGATGAATGAATGGGATGAATGAAAAGATAGATGGATGAATGAATGGGATAGATAAAAGAATGGGATAGATGAATGAATGGATGGATGAATAGGATAGATGAGCAAATGAAAGGGATGAATGAATGGGATAGATAAATGAATGGGATAGGTAAATGAATGGATGGAAGAATAGGATAGATTAATAAAATGAATGGGATGAATGAATGGGATAGATAAATGAATGGGATCGATGAATGAATGGGATCGATGAATGAATGGATGGAATACATAGATAAATTTTATGGATAGGACCAAATGGATGGAAAAAATTAATGTATGGGATAGGATGAATAAATGGGATGAAGGAGTAAAGAAAAAAACGATAACAAAACAAAACAAACGTATACCTTTTCACTGAGAACTTTCTCTTGTTGAGTTACCAGAACACTCTTCATTTTCATCTTAAAAGTTAAAGGAAATTTTTTTCAGATAAAACCCCAGGACTAATTCACAACGTCTGATGGAATGTCATAACAAATTTACCTGAGATTTTACTGTGCGTCGCTCAGTCTGTAGACGCTGAATTATGTCGTTTCCCTACAAAATCAAAAAGTAGTATTAATACAAATGAATGAGGAAATCCGTTGAATATATCACAGCAAATCCTACCATGAGTGTTAAATATATTACCCACCTTGACAACTTCAGCTGATACTGATTGAACTGTGTTTTCCAGCTTTTGAATTTGTTTTTGCCGCTGGTCTAGTACATTTTCCTGGTTTTGTTTTTGTTCATTAGCAGCTTGCAGCAGCTCATTTGTTCTTGATATTACCTACAAAGATTGAGATATAAGAGGCATTAAGTTTGAATTCAGCAAGACAGTATTAAATTAACAATCGATTGAGAAAAGTGATTCTAAATTTTTCTGCTATCTTCTAACATGGCTGCATAACAGCACATAATTATATTAAATATGTTCTTTGTTTGTCTTTGTTGGGAAGCATGGGTGGCTTAGCCATGAGAGCGTTTGCCTCTCATCAATATTACCCGGGTTTGAGTCCAGCCAGTCTTGGTGTTGTATGAGAGTAGACAATTCTAGTTGATTCTCTCCTGTGCTTCAAGAGTTTTTCTCTGGGTTCTCTGGTTTTCCTCCCTCCACAAAAATCAACTCCTAAATTCCAATTCAAATATGGAATGAGGGCCACAGGTTTTTTAGCCATTGGCTATTAAGTGCTACCCTTAAGAAAAAAAAGTAGAAGAAAGACTGTTCTTTCCTGAATACCTGCTCTTTGTCTCTCAATTCTTGTTCCAGTACAGCCACCCTTGTGCGCAGATGAGCTAATGTTTTATCTTTCTCATGCTGCTCGGAATTTAGAACAGAGTTGCCACGCCTCAGGGTCATTAGTTCTTCCTTCATGTGGCTGTATTCCTGAAAGGAGAAAAAAGAAAAATATAACTATGAATATCAAATACTTTTTGCGTGTTTTTTAATTATATTTCATAATAGGTAATAGTAAACAAGATTGTCAAACTCATTAATAATTCATGAGGAAAACACAACAGAAATCACGACCGTGAAGAGTGTTGTAAATCTGATACAAAACTGTGTTCATTTGCATAAACTTTAAGTTGGATTTTCTTGGCCAAATTCACTTTAATTTTGAAAATTTTAGTGAAACACAAAGGAAGTAACCTAGACGTTTGATAAGTCATATACAGTATTTGTGTCCATGTTGTATCTCTTGCCTATGCCTCGAGTTCGTATATCCGATACAACATGGCCACTCATACTGTATATATTACATACCCCACTGAACTGTGGAGTAGGCCCAAGTTTTCTTATGACAGTTACACCCACTTTAGTATGACTGCCACCCCCATTTTGATTGATAAATTCCAAACATTCCATTGTAGTCTTTGGTATATGCCAACATTTTTGCTCCATCTTGACCACATACAGATGTATTGTTTGGAACTTATCAATCAAAATGGGGGCGGCAATCATACTAAAGTGGGCGTGGCTGTCATAAGAAAACTCAGGCCTATTCAAAGTTTGGTGATTTTCTTGGTATGACCTCAAAATTGGTGACATTAGGGTATTATATCTAATTGAGCTGATCTGTGCAGTATATCAAGCAACTTCTGCAGCTGCTAAATTATAAGACTTGGAAAAAATTCCGAGTCTTGAACGGAATTTGAACTGGCGATTCCAATGCCATGCTCTAACCACCGAGCTACCAAGTGATTTAGTCTCATATGAGACTTACAGGGACACATTATGTGGGTTTATCGGCCCGATAATAGGGCATTAGGGCAAAAGTGTTAGTAGATAATCAATAGGGTATTGGTAGGGCATTTGGCAGGGTACACAAGGTTGTTGGTAAGGTATCAGTAAGATACCTAATCAGTACTGACTTTGGGCTAAATGCTAATAAACTTACCCCCTCAAGACCTGATAGTTTTGTACTTAGTTCACGGATCTTGGCTTCAGCTTGATACTTCTTGTCTGTAAGATCCTGTGCACATGTTAAACATATTAGTATCCTCATTTAGAATTAAGAGAATCTCATAGTTTCTATATTTAAAAACTCAGCATAAACAATTGGTTAGACTTGCTCCAAGTCTCGCTCATGATTTTTTCCGTTGACGAGTCGTCAAATTCAAATTTCGGGCACTTCGGGTTCCGACAGATTTCCGAAGGGAATGGCCGAAACAAAATGAAAAGCGAGCATCTCATTAATATTCGACAAGTTGACGACTCGTCAACGGAAAAAATAACGAGCGAGTCTTGGAGCAAGTCTAACAATTGATAACACAACCTTATTTTGTGCTTCGATTTCAGCAATACGATTTTCCATACCCTTGACCTGAAGGCAAGATAGATTTAAAATAACTTAGATCTTGTTAAGATAAGAAAGTGTCAGACTATCAACACAGCTTTCTGGACTCCCGAAAAAAATAAATATTATTTAGTATATTAAAGGCTACTCACAACGTTCCTGTGAGACTGCTCTAGACTCTTTCTCTCCCTTTCAAATTCTTGCATTGTTTGGCTCTTCATCTGAAAAGTCATGAAAATTCATAATTTTGATTTGATTTTTTTATGGAGTGAAGAGAAATCCAGGAAATCCAGGAAGGAAACCCATGACCACACTTGGTGATCTAAGGTAGATTTGCAGCACTTACCACCCATGCATCTTGTATGTTTCTCAATCACGTTTAGAATTTTCAGGACATATGAGTCAAGGTATACRTATGTGCATTAAAGACAACTTGCACTAATGAGTCACGTCACCCTACCTCCCTTAAAACGAGCAGTTTTGTCAAAATAAAAAATGGAAATGAAAAGAGAATATCGGCATTAGTAGGGAGGCCGAGTTTCAGCTCATCATAAGTGAAACAAGAGAAATGGTATTAGATATAAAATTGAATGTTTTATAAGGGTTTGTATGGGAAAATGCACTGTATAGCAAAAGCTTACCAGCCAACACTTTTCCCATACAAATCCTTATAAAATATTTGATTTTAAATCTAATCTCATTTCTCCTATAGTCAACATTCGGAGCTGAAACTTTGCCTCCTCATTAAAGGCGAGGTGCTCTTTACATTTCTGGAGTTCACTTTGACACATTTGCTTGTTTTAAGGAGTCACGTGACCTGTTACAGTGCAATTCGTCTATTAAAATGTATTTTCATATGTTATACCTGTAAAATTCTTTGTTTTTCTTCTGTTAGTTCCTGGGCGTACTTATTCGACAGCTCATTGGATTTAGCAGAAAACTCAGCCTGGAGTGTATCAAGCTGCTTTGACTTGGAATTAAGAACCTGATTATATTATCAAAAATAAACAGGAGAAATCTTGATTAATAAGATAAAGATTCAGATATATTCATTGTCTGTGTATAATAATACCCTGTGAGTATAGATTGGTTTTCATGGGAAAATAATTTACAACTTTAGATACAGGTAGTATATATATTGTTGATGGCCTATACCCCACGAGGGGTGTAAAGGCTTAGGAGGAGGAGGAGGAGGAGGAAGAGGAGAAGTATATACTGTACATACCTCTTGACAGGATTCTAATCGTTGCCTAAGGTCCTGTTCTGTACTGGATAACCTATTCTCTAATGATAATTTTTCCTCCTAGCAAAAAATTTAAAAAAATTAGCGTAAGTGTATTAAAAATTGCATGGTAGTATTGAAAGTGCTGCCTTTCACATGTGTTACTGGTTGATGTTCCAATTCCATACATTCTATCTGTGTAGTATCAATTCTGTGATAAAAATCAACCATAGATTTTAAAGTCCACTTCATTACAGAGGATGAATTATAGCCACATATCCTGTACTCCACTGGCAAATATCTTAATTGATTTGAAAAGATTTGCTATTGTGGTATGACATACTGTACATGTATATGATGTTCTTATATTATATATTATGGTAAGACCTAATCCATTGTTTTTCCATTTCAGACCATGCATCATTCTCTAGAGTATCATTTCTTTATTTATCACTTGCACATGAAAAGACACATGAATATGGATACAACTTGAACAAAGAAGCTTCTTCTCAAAAGAATCACCATGTCTGAAATGGGCAAAACATTATGCCCTAAGTGGATTTGGTCCATTAAATCTATACCTTGATTTTCTTTAAGCAATCTGCCAGGTATTTCTTGATTTCAGTGTCGTTCCCTGCTAAGAATCTCAGTGACAAATGGGTCAAGTGCTTAAAGGGGTTGGTCTCAATAACATTCAGATTCCCAACACCTCTTTCATAGGATCCTGCCGATGATACAAACTGCAAAAGAAACCTAGAAAAAAATCAAACAAATCAGACAATGATGCTTGATAGTCATTTTCAAGAGAATCTAACACCAAGATGAACATGTTGTTGGTGGGGAAAAAACACAGAGCCATTATGCTGGTCATTGGTACACCAATATAATTGAATTTGATTGGCTGAGAAAATCACATGACATTGTCAGTCATGTTCACACTATGAAACTGGCTGAGCATCTAGTTACAGAAGTAGATCTCATGTCCTCTTCTGTAATGTTGCATGAATCAACATCTGCACTCAACATTACAATCAACAGTTGCACCATATTTTGGGACCTTAATGCTGGTGGACCTTTATCACGTGGCAGCCATGGTAACTGGAACAATAGATTTTCCCTATGTGGCCTCGCATTCAAGTGCTTCAGAATGAGGCTACTTGTGGTTACACAAAGGTTTTTATTTTCATGGGGATAAACATGATGTTATGTAATAAAGGTCCATTATCTGTGAAATTCAAGCCTACTTTGGCATGTCCTTGTTTTCTTCTTTTAGACACAGTTCAAGGAGATCCACAAACTTCTGAGGAAATGACCCAAAGTCCACCAATAATCCTTGTTGGTTCTTGAGGCTGGAAAACAGATAATTATTAAGAAATAACTCTTTCAAAGTGTGGAAGCAGGCTGCGCACATACAGTATGAGTCAGGTGCCTCCACTGTGCTCTGTTCAGTAAATTATACAGCACAGATCTCGACCAATGTGCACATACTACAGTATCAAAGATATATATTCATTACTAAACTATGCATATTTACCTTTGAAAATCTTCTTCAGTCAAAACCAGTGAATAAAGAAAGAAAGGATCTCCATCATCAGTGAGCCGTACAGCCAGTTCCTAAGATAAGGTTTATTTTATTAGCTAGAGAATGATCAAGCTTGATCAAAGCTTACTTATAACGTTATAAGCTCACAACTTTGCACAAAAATACCTTCAAACATTCCATTAATATTGAAAGGTCTAGTGCTAAAATACATGGAATGAATACCTCTCATATGAGAACCATTACTTAAGCAAAGACAAGTCAAATTTCGAGGCAAAAATATCGAAAAAAGCTTACCTTTTGAGGTCCAGAGGAAGCGAGTCTGTTGACAACAGTGATGCGAACTCGAGTTCTTCTGCAGCAAAATACAATAATAAAGTAATAATTATTAACGAATTATCAACTCATTGGAACAAGAAGTTWAAAATAATTCACCTGTCTTCGTGGTCGGAGTGTTTTAGGAAGAGAGGAACGCTTTTATTGAAGAATTCTTCCATCGTTTCTTCTCAAAATGTTTGCTGAATTTTCAAGTTTTGGCGCTTTTCGTAAATATTGAGCCTGCGATCTATACACAGGAAGCCCAATTACTCTATGAAATACAAAAGAAAATTTTCGGAGAAAGCCTAGAATTAAATAAACATTTCATTACTTAGAAAACTATATCTTTATTTTTAAATATAGAAAGGCCTTTAACAAAAATTATTAGAGTCTTATGTGTTATTTAGTTGAGGACTTTAAATCGCATAGTGGGTTACCTGTGGACTTTCATTTATACCAGCGGTCATCAGTGGAAGACTTTTTAAGGTGGTTCGCTGTTAGCTTTAATCCTTACCATACTTCTGCGACATATTAGTTCAAACTTAGCTGAATCAGTAAGATTGTCAAATCCAGCACTGAACTAGAATGAAAATCCAAAATGATGTACATCTTAGGTGAGCAGGTGTAACCATATTAACGATAAACAAACCTCCTTAAAATCGGTTCTTATGAAATTATTTTTATTTGGCATGTACTGTAAGCAAATAAAATATTATTGTTGAACTGTGAGTTTAGAAGATTAGGTGCAAATACTGTTGCAGTTTTTTCAACCCATTACACATGGAAAAGATTGACCATGCTTGGTTTGTCATAAACTACAGATATGCTGGGTCTGCTGTTAATGGGAAGGGGTTAATCAGTCGAGGTCAAGGGATTGATTAAACTCTGCCTTACACTTCAACCGAGCTTCCTGATCATTCTATAGAGTTGGGTTTCAAAATCTCTGGCATAGCTGCAAATTCTTCATGCTGCCATACTGCATTTCAGCTATGCATCTGGAGGTATGGTATTAGTTTAATCAATCAATAAACGTATAAATAGCCCCCCCCCCCCCCCCNCCCCCCCCCCCCCCCCAAAAACTTCAAAAATATACAAAGCCAAAAAATATTAATGACTTTTATTCTGGTTCCTACCGTAATTATTGTTAAGAAACTATTAAAGTATTAAACAGCATTTTTTAATTCCACAACAATTACAAACCTTTTAATTACATACTCTTATCTTAGACAATGATTTACACTACACATCAAATTATCTTTTTATAGTCCAAGAAAGTATACCAGATCATTACATACTAAAGGGAAGCTGGAATTACAGTACAGTGAAGGTATGTGAAATATATTTCAGAATAAAATCATTATGTTATTTAATATGGGATGTTGAAGGGATAGTGAGGATGGCCTTCATCTCTTACAACTTCTTTGCCATCAATCTGTATAAATAGAGATAAAGAATCACAAATCAAACATACAGTACATGTGTGGTGGGTGGGGCAAAAAGGTCTACAAATTTTACGTTCTGGGGAGGAAAATCAGAAAACCTAGAGAAAAAATCCTTGGCCCAGGGCTAAAATAATGGCTGGCCATCAGAGAATGGCCAGGCTAAAACTTGTCCAGTAAAATCTTTGTCTTGCTGGTCAATTTGAGCCAGGAACAAGGTATATGATCGAGCTAAGAGTATTTTGATCAACTGGTCCCTACATAATAATAATAATAGCTTTATTAATGTCTCAAAAAACTTCTAGCTGGGCACACAAGCGCCCTACTAATTGGGGAGACAAAATTATGACTAATGGACCAGAGGAGATAACCAACAAGCAAATCAGTCACATACAGCTGTGAGTCGAAAGGTAGTGCATTTGAAATGCATGTGACCTGTGCTTCCCTTTTCATCAGTATACAGTACTTACCACTGTTTTGACAACACAGGCTCTCCATGGTCTGTTGAAGGACTCAATCGTGCTCATCTCCTCAGAGGATAGTTCAAAATCAAAGACCTTGAAAATTAAAATATATGAACATGAATGAATGAAATGACCTTTGTATGATGTTTAATGCGACCTTAATACTACTTTTTGCCATTTTTGTTGACATTTTCAAGCTAAACTTAATTCAAGCTGAATAGAAAGAGTATTTTTTCTAATGTGTTACGTGACAAGGTCTATTAAGTGTTCTATTCAGTTGATCAATATTTTGTTAGATCAGATTTTGCAAAAAATGCTAAAATTCAAAAACCTGATTTTTGTTTTTGAATCTTACGTTTTGAGAGTTGTTTTTGTTTATTCTTGTCATAACTGTTACGAATAAAGTCATAAATTATGATTGTTTTATTCAATGAAATTGCAAAATTAACACATTACCAAATCAAAATGCAAAATCATGAAACATGTTACTTTTAGAATTGCAAAGTTACTCAGTAACACATCCCAACTATTTCATGCAAAAAGCAACAGTGTATGTACCTGAAAATTTTCAATGATCCTTTTTGGTGTGACACTCTTTGGAATAACTGCAACTCCTCTCTGTATCTGGAATCTGATGCAGACTTGCGCAGCTGTTTTGTTATACTTCTGAGCAATAGCAGTGATCTTAGGATCATCAAGAAGGCTTGGCTCTCCTGGCTTGGCCCAAGGACGGTCAGGTGATCCAAGAGGACTGAACGCAGTTACTGAAAAGATTGTTAAATTATAGAATAGTTTGTGGTTGAATTATGATATCCATTTTGAAATCACTAGTGATTAACGCGGTCATCGATTTTGTAATCACTAGCTTGATTTCCGACCAATCTGTACTCCACTCAGCTTAATTACGATTATATATAATGCTTTTTTTCTGCAAGTGTTTTCTGCAAGTATTTCCTGAATATGAGGAATTTAAATCACACCCTCCCTGTTGATACATAACAAGAATACCCAACATACAGCTATTTCAAAAAAGGTTGAATACTGAATACTGCATACTGAATAGTGCATTCCAAGACAGAAGTGAATTGTGAGATTGTCTAAAGTAGGATTAATAATTATTATTTATTCTATTTTTAGTGTATTCCATCTGAAACAATATACCAACTACTGTACATGTAGAGAGTTAATATTGCTGTATATTTACTTTTTATTTCAACTCAACAAAGACCAATAATGCTCTTTGGTCTTGGAATGCACTATTTAGTATGCAGTATTCAACCTTTTTTGAAATAGCTGTATATAGCGGAAATGTGATATAAACCATACAGGTATCTACTATAGCTGATATGAAAGTTGTTTGCAACAATGGTAAACTTACACAAAATGTTATACTTTTTGCAGTGCTCCAGTAGAGGTTTTTGTGTAAGGTATGGATGGCATTCAATCTGGTTGACGGATGGCTTGATTTTAGCAACTGCACAGATGTCATCAACTTGCTTGCTGTTAAAATTTGAAAGACCTGGAAAAGGAAAATATAAGAAAATCGAAACCATAAAAGATACACAAAATAATAATAATAATAATTAATAATAATAATTAATAAAAATAATAATATTTATAACTTTATTATTGTCTCAATCATAGCTTAATTGGCACAGGTGCTTTGCTAATTGGGAGACCTAAATGAATAAATATACAGAGTCAAATTCTGCATACTAAAGGACAAGAAGAGAAGGAACATTAAATACTATAATTTACTAGCATGCAAAATGCTTGTTGAAAATTTAATACTAAAAAAAGTACGACTTACCAATAGACTTAACTAGACCCTCTTCAACCAGTTTTTCCATTGCTTTCCATGTGTCACATGGATCGTGATATGCATATATAACCCTCCCTGCGTCATCCTTAGGGAACTTATTATCACCATCTTGGAATGAAATTGGCCAGTGTATAAGATATAAATCCAAGTACTCTAATTGTAGGTCCTTGAGTGTCTCTTTACAGGCTCCAAGAACATCATTAGGATYGTGTTTAGTGTTCCATAACTTTGATGTGATGAATAAATCTTTTCTATCTACAACCTGAAACATTGATGTTAACTCAGTTATAAGATTAAGATCCAAATTGACAGCATACACCTATTACATGTGTAGTTCCAAGAAATATCCTTCCCCCCTCACAGAGAAAAACATTTTTTAACTCCCTCTACCTCCAGAAATTCCAATTTTCTTTCATACAAACTCTTTAAATTTTCTTTCTTTCTTGCAGATCCCCACCCTTCGGAAATTCCAAATTCCTCTTTGGGCCGGGTATGGATATTTTCTGGAACTACACATTTCAAAAAAGGTTGTCGGTCTGCTGAGATCTGAAATCTGAGACTGAGTGGTAGCACACTGCAAAACATAATATATTCATAGTTGAACAACGTAGTTTCCTTTTAGATTGGAATAGATTTGGTGATTTTTTGTATTTTAGCCAGAATACTACATTAAGGCTCAAAAATTCCCTATAGTCTCAGATCACTCATTTCAAATCTCGGATCAACAATTTTTTTTCGAAATAGGTGTATACAGTACCAAACTAACTGGATTATAACTAAATTAAAGTTTATGTTGTTGTTACATGGACAGTATTACAAATGACTCATTCATACAACCAGCCATGCGGGTGGATAGGTGGGGCCAGCTARATATACAAAAACAATGATAATGCACAGAGATTATGAGACTTTTTCCTAATCCATTAGTAGAATTTTTTTATGATCCTTAATCTAAAAATATAAAATTCCTTATTTATCAAATTAATACAGATTCTAATATATATAGCTATATGTAGCGACTTAGCTTGTATGTGACATAGACATTTATATGAATGTAAATCAAATCAAAATGTTTTGTTAAAGCTGAATCATCGTCATTTAATAAAACTACAAATGTTTTATTTTCAATATTATAATATAAACCATTTTAAACAATATAAACAAAGCCAAAATTAAAAGTGCAGCTTAAATTTCAAAATAGAAATGGGAGACTACAGTTAAGCTACAATGGATTGTTTTAAGACGTTTATATTTTGTAATCTTGTTAAGTAATGACTGAAAAGTTTGCTTACTTTTAATTTTTCGCTCAGAGCTTCCCCAACTTCTTTCTCGTTGCCATACGCCGCAGCACAGTCGATGTGTCTGTAACCTGCATCTATAGCACACATGACAGCATTTTTCACTTCGCCAGGCTTGCTTTTCCACGTTCCAAGCCCGAGAAGTGGGATATTATGACCACTGTTAAGCTTAGACAACATTATTCTTGCAATCGGAGAGACAATTTTGTTGTTAAAGTAGTGCAATAATGATTCTAAAATGCCTGCTACTTGGTATCCCTTGGAATTGGATTACTGGCGTGACGTAAATCACATGATATGAGGTCACGGACAGTCGTACCACAGGCAGCCCATAACCGTAAAAAATGTGGAAGAGTGAGAGAAATTTTCCCATTCTTGACTTTCTCATAGCCCATTATGCTTTACGCATTGCTATTCTTGATATTCATTCTTTGTTGCCGCCATGTTGGTTATAGTCTTTTGAATCTGTGGAAAATATTTTCCAGATACACTGTCTACTATGCGTACAGTTTGAAGACGCTTACCACAGCTTTAGGTATAGCCATGCTCTCCAGGGTACGTTGAACGATTCTATTATAGACATCTCCCCGGGAGTCATCTCAAAATCAAAAACCTTGGTTAAATAAATAAAACAGAACAGTAGATTAAGGAAAGTATAATAAAATGATGGATGGACGGACGAAATGATGGACGGATGGATTAGTGGGTCAGTGCATGGATGGTGTTATCTTGACCTCAATTTTTTAAATTTTATTCATTTTTCCCGATTATATTTTCACCGTTCACTTTTATCTCAATTGGGCTCCCTGTGTGTTGATTGTACAAATTTGACGCACTCACTCGTCCCTCTGTACAAATATAGTAGCCGGGCACACCCCCTTCCCGCCCACAAAAGGTTGAATAATTCTTTTTGCAGAAAATATTCATATTTTTTCTTGTATCGAACCTCCATTTCCATTGATGGTTTTTATAGAAAAAAAGATTCAAATATCCGTGTGCTGGGTGCCTTCCACATCGTACTGCAGCCATAACTACGTGACACGTGATTTATTGACAGTGGGAAGCCAAGTCACCGTACCGTTTACACGTGCTGTGTAAAACAGCACCGTATGTTTGCAGCCACTCATACGGAAACTGCTCTATTTAATTAATATGCACGCGAACTCAATTAAATCAATTATATTGATATGAATTCCTTCATGTAACTGATAAAAAAACAATTCAAGAGTTTAATTCTTTCAATTAAACGATCTTGACTTACTGCTAGTTTTTCCTTCAAAAACTGCACCAGCTTCTTTCTCGTTCTCGTAAAGAGCAGCACAATCGATGTGCCTATAACCTGCATCGATGACTGCTTTCACAGCATTGTTAATCTCATCAGCGGCTTGCTTTTCCAAGTTCCTAGTCTAACGAGTGGGATCTCAAAGCCACTATTAAGTTTCACTGATGTCATTATTTGCTATAGTTTTTTCATACACACGCTGCAATTCAGCTAAGAATATCGTTGGATCTAGCACGCCAGGCAGTTTCGTAACATCTGTGAAATGTTATATAATCGTTTTACGATCTAGCGTGACCGACCGCGGTACTTGAGTTGATGGATTAGTATTGAATTACAAACAAAGAATTTCCTGTTTTCAAATTGAATAAAAGAAAAGTCCTTCTTTCTTATTCTATCACTTTCCAACTGTCCGAATCGATCAATTACGTCAAATTAAATTAGCAGTACTGATCATTAACTTAAATAATTGGATTAAAAAAGTAGGGAGCCCAAAGCTCAGGTTTTGTAAAAATACTGATCACAGTAAATGTCTGTAGTTTATAATTACGCGCACTTTTGTCGAAATTTTGATTTTTGAAAATTTGGGCCCGATTGGGCTAAATCCCCCCCCCTCCAAAGAAAAATTCCCCCCCCCCCCCCCTAAAAAAAAGGTAGAGTGAACAAAACCTTGAGTTTTGCAATAAATCTGAGGGGGGAAACAATAGTTATATATAAATAATGTTTATAGTCCTGTTGATTACAGACTGTAAAGCTTAGCATAGCGCGCGGGAAATAAAGACTTTGGCCTTTGCCAAAATCATCATCCCGTTATAAATATAATCAACTCCACTTCCAAATAGAAATTTGAAGCTCGGGTTTAATATTTTACTTCGGGTAGCATGGCAACGGCAGAAACTAGAGCAAAATCTTCAAAACCACGATACTGTATTAAAAAACAACTTCACCAGAACAATTAGCCTGCGTTGTTTTCTGGTCTGCGGTTATTAGCGCTTTGACCGCGCCTTACGTAGTTTCCACTAGACCAGAACAAGAACACAAGATCAGTCTGATGAGTTAAACCTAGTACTTCTGTATTAATAAAATATATTAGATATTTGCTTAATTGTACTACTTTAATGAAATAAATCGATATTATCGCGCGGAGATCCAATCTACGTTTCCAGGAACCTTTTTTTGTGCGGTCCCAACATATAACACATGTGTTCATAAAGTCTTGTACTTAGGATGAAAGAAATAAGGAGAGTGAAAAGGTATCAATAATTCTAAAACAGGAATGGTATATCATAAGAGTTGATGTATTTTTGTTGCCAAGAAGAGAGACGGAGGCGGTATTCGGTCAAATCAAGTTGAAACTTATTCATATCTATCTTGATATTCCACACAATAACAGGAATCTGCATGGTCTAGCCTTACATAACCCATAGGTTTTCATCATCCAATCAGATCCCACTTCATTGTTAGTGGAAAAATACATATAAATTGCAATCAAGTAGCTTTGACTTTAGTTGCAGTGACAGAGCTTRCTCGACTTGGAGTGCAATTTCACCATGGCAAAGGTAAGAAAAAGAAATACGATTCTCGCAAGAAATATATATCTGACTTGACTCGTGTCGAACGGTTTAGTCTTAAGCATCAAGTAGCTATTACAGTGAGGACACTCGACACTGAGTTTTTTTCGAACGGGTTATTATTTCCAAAACGTTCTACTGTTTTAAGCCCTGTAAAATAAAGCATTGCGTTCAAATACACCTCACAGCATTGAGTCATCAAAAAGAAATCTTGTTCCCAATCGATTGGTTCAAGGAATCATTTATCGATACATAGTATAGGCATTCTTTAAAAAGTAGCGAAAAAACAAAGTGTTCGTGGCTCGAGTGTTCCGTCACTGTAAGTAATGAAAGGAAACTAAAATAATGACGACTTAATATTTCATTTTCATAAAGCAAACCTCAATCGCTGATGTGAAAAAGAACTGCCCCGTCTTCAAGACCAGCCATTGTCCATACACTGGACTAAAGGCACAGTTGGCTAGGAGTAGTGTGTTCGACCACGGATGTATCGTTAAACCTGGTCAATGCAAGACTTTAGCCGAGGTATCTGATRTCCTGGCTACTGTTGTGCCTAAAGGCGAAGCGGAAGAAAAGATAATGGCCCATGCGATCCAACAAGCTGTTCTTCTTGGCTACAACGAAGAGAAGAAGATGGGCAAATCTTGCCCTGTTCTTCCAAACTGGCCCTTCAACACCAAAACGGATGGGACAGCAGTGTTYACTCCGCAAAGTGCCATTGTAAGCATAATGTTTTTCATATTTTTCTTCATGACGTATTCATAGCTAGTCATATCACTTTTTCATTWGGGAACGACTAGTTGCGCAAAACCCAAAAACAGAACTCATCCTATCCGAACTGTGGCGCGCTATTAAAAGCACTACATTTCGTTTACAAATCTATACAATACCAACTTTRTGGCATCGATCTTTTCCTAACATATCTGCTTAGTGACTTTTCGTCGATCAGTGAGGGCATAGTCCGGTTTGTATGCGCCTATAAAAGGGCCATGTTCCTTGATTCTTCAGAGGATGATGCAATGCCCCCCAAATAGAACATTGTCGAGAGAGATGGGTCAACAGTTTGAAATTAAAAATAAAACGGTATGTTTTTAGGAGTAGGTGTCGTGTATCGATGAATAGAATAAGGTCAATCAAGATTCATAAGATAGGCTTCGATTTGATCACGAAAAGAAAATGATCTTCGCAGAGACTGCCCTAGTTATCGTTACGTAACTTCAGTGTTATGTAACCATACTAGTGCTTGCTGTGGGCTTGCAACGTGACGACGTCTAGTCGCGAAATTAAATATTAGTCATGCGTTTTTTTTAAAGACGCCCGCAAGGCCAAGAAACGCCACAGGGAGCCCGGCTTGGTGATGCTAAATCGGTAAAACGATCACGTTTCATATCTTGATGACATTACATAATAATCGTAACTCAATACACCCCTGTTACAAACGGTCACTACGTAATTAGAACTTGTAATGCAATAGTGTTAGACGCCCCGTAAGAAGAGAGAAAGGAGAGAAGGGCTGAAACAAAATATAGTAGCCCTTTTAAAACCTCGATTTTCTAGTCTTGTTTTAGAGTTAGGGCTCTTAAACCTGGATCAAGCGAATGAGTATAGATTAAACCAAATGAGGGAGCGTTGATTTCATAACTTGTGAGCATGCAGTTCTCATGATATTTTCGGCAATTTCGGCAAGCTTGGTTTAAAGTTATGTGCGCCAGCAGTTGATGGGACATGTTTATGATTAACCTAGCCTGATTTGCCATTTTTCAATGAAATGATTTTTTCCCCGCTTTTTTCCAAAGTGA